CAAAAACTTCATTTATTTATTTAAAATTTCCATCATGAAAAATATTTAGCCTTTGACATCTAAAATTAAAAAAAGGATGATTTATTTTCATTGTCATGTTAATAAGAAAAACAAATATAAAATGTTCTTTATCTTAAAGAGTCAATGTTAAACAAATAATAAAAATAAATAAATAGAGTTGTAGACTTGAAGAGAATGGATTTAACTCTTTAAATTTGAAAAACTAAACTAATTCTCAATTCTTACTTTCAAATGATTTGCATTTATTATGTTGCTGATTTGAATATTTTACTTATCAAATTATTCAAATTATATTACAGCCAACTGGCCATTGACACTAACAAACATGTTAAAGAAAAGAGAAACAATAAATCCTTATTAAAGCAAGCAAAATAGAAAGCAAAAATAGTCGTTAGAGCATATTAAAAATTTTGAAATCTAAATTCAAAATACTTTCTATTATACTTGAGACTATTTTTATATATAATAAATCCCTTAAGATGCTCCTGAGGACCGTCTGATGCTGGTAAAAGTAAAGCCCATGCTCAGAGGGTAGTGGTAGATGAAAGACTTCTTCAACCTCAAGGTAATCGTCGAGTTGGTGCAAGAGCAAAAGCCTTTAAAAAGATATGTAATTTACATTTTACATTTTTTTTGTTCATAATTTTTAACTCCACTCGTTGTTTGAGCCCCATTTTTCTTAAAAATGCATTTAGAAAAGGTAGATAGACAAAGAACGAATGATTGAAAAATAAGGAAAGATTTTGAATTTTACTTGCAATACTATTTGATCGACACAATCAGTTCATCAGGGCCAACCAACTGGCAATACTTGAAATCTAAACATGACTACAAATTGCCTAGTCTCATATATAAGCCTGTTTGAAAGTGATTTTGAGAATTGATTTTTTGACCGTTATGAAAAAAGTGAGATCCACCTGTGAGAAAAATGAAAGGAGAACCAGGAAAGAAGGATCGGTCTAGCCGGGATTGAATGGCATAGGAGCGGGAAGACGAGCTTAGAAAGTCAAATATGACATCTGAAATAGTGAAATAACGGTCAAAAAATCAATTTTTTGAGGGGGGAATCACTCCCAAACAAGCTCTCAGGTATGAGCAAGTATAATTACCTCTAGCAATGCAGATGCACGCCATTAACTAAGTCATTCACACCGCAATTATTTATAATGGAACAATGCCTAACCGGATGCCATTGAGTAAAAACTCCGATCCCACAAGCACCGAGGACAAAGTGCATCATCAGCTTTCGAGTTTAATGACAGTTCGGAATTTTCCTTCCAAGATCTTAATATCTTAACCAGTTTTGTTCAAGATGATGCAGCAAAACTAGTAGACCAAGTAGATTATTTATGGTCTGCGTACTCCAATGAATTCAACATATTAGACGTAAATCAATCCATAGCTGTTTATCACGGCAACGGCATCAATACATAATAAAGCAATGCTGAACTATACATAATGGTATATAGAATGGTTTACAGATTGATGTTTTGGGTTGTTACGAGCGCAGTTCAATCCTGTTATAAATAGTCAGAAGAAGAGAACAGTAAAAAAAAATTTACAGCAAATAATCCTTTCACATCACCTGGGCTTTTTACGTGGTTCTACGTTAATTAGCATTTCCTGAGCAAACATCCTCGAGATTCATATTCAGCAAAAGACGATTCTTCTAAATCACTTGAGCCTTATGTATGTGAAAGTAAACTCTGAGCTTGTTTAGTAGAGTTTTTAAACCAATTAAAATCAATTTTTTGACCGTTATTTCACTATTTCAGACGTCATTTTTTATTTCTTTTCTCACAGGTAGGATCCACTTTATCACTAACGGTTAAAAAATCAATTATCAAAATCTCTACCAAACAAGCCCTTTATTTCAACTAAAAGAGTTTACACTCTCGAGCACATTATGTCTACACAGTTTACCTCCATCAATGACAACACTTTGGCTGAAAATTAGCACTATATAATTGCGTGACCATGAGTGCAAAGTTATGGAATCCCATTATAATGGAATCAAATCATTTTTGGAGTGAAATATACGGATCGTGAGTTTGCACGATAACATAATCTAGGGTATCTATGTGTACTTGTATGAATGAATATTATTGACCATGACCCTAATTGTAAACCTTCATCATGCATGACTATGAAATCCAGTAGAAATGACCTGATTATTTTTATGAATGAAATTTATTGGCCATTGCATTCGTGGTTATAAAATTGCACGCTACTGAACTTGTGTACTTTTATGAATGCATTTCATTTAACTGCGTGCATGGTTAATGAAGTCCTAAGGTAAATTAATTTGGACAGCTTCTTCTAGATTATCATAGTATAGAAGCAATTTGCTGGCACGAAACAATTAGCGGCTAAAATTCATAGGTCTAAATCAATGCAAATTACAGAATGTTGGTATTGGTATCAGTGTCAACAATCACCAGTCACGCAATATATTTAGCAAATTTGAATATATATTGAAAAGAAGAACCCTAAAATCCTGAACGAAGAAATAAAGAGACGCACTCCAGGGAAGTCACAAAATGCACGATCATTTCCACAAACCACAATGAAAAAGCCAGCATTTCAATTGGAATTGAAGAAGATACCAGATAAATTTCTCAGCATAAACAGTTCTAAAAAGAGTAACTTCGAAATACACGTCAACTTCAAATGCAGAGTCACTTTGGAAACGTAATAGAACAAAAATCCCTCTTTTTCAAAGCACTACTACTAGATCCAAATTAAAATTACCAGAATGTCCTCCTCAGAACCTGAGCTTGGTGAAGAACCATCGGTTTTTCCCAGTCTTGAACCGCTCCTCGAACCGTGCTTTGGCCTCCTTCGCTGCAGTCACCTTCTTGTCTCTGGACTGGAGGGATTCGAGTGATACCACATCCTTTAGGTCCACGTCGAGGGTGTAACGTGTCGGCATGATGTGGTTGTAATTCACCAGCTTGATAAAGCACTTCACGCGTGATTTCTTAGCCTGTTTCTTGGCGGAGTCCTTGCGGATGACCTTGCGCGGGTACTTGGCTAAACCAGCCACCAGGCAGTGGCCATAAGGGCGGTCGCGTGTGCCGTCGTCGAAGTTGCGAATGATCACCGCCTTCCGACCGGCGTACCGTCCCTGGAGGACAATCACCGCCTTGCTTGGTTTCAGAAACTTCACCATTGCCACAGATTTGGTCCTCTCTCTCTTCTCTCTCTGTTATTCTGGGAAATGCAGAGGCGCCACGGTCAAACCCTAAAAGCAATATAAAAGGGTGCCAGTGGTGGACTAAAGCCCACTTTTTAAATAATGAGTTTGGTCCCGTAGGTATATTGATGGGCTGGGTACGGTTTGGATTCAGATAGCCTTACATAATGAAAAAATATAGCCCCGTTTGTTTTCCATTATTTACTCATTAAAATGAAAAATATGATCTTTATTCATCACACCAAATCATCATATTTGACTTTTTATCTCTTGTATAAAGCCTGTAACAGCTATATTTTTCATTCTCATTTTTAAGTTAACGATCATACTTTACGCCCCGTTTGACTATCATTAATTAGTAAAAATAAAATTTTGATAGTATTTTTAAGAAGAATGTTTGGTTAAAAAGTAAGAAAAATTTTTAAATTTATATGTATAATATTTTATTGTATGAATGTGTAGTTAAGAATGGATATGTAGAAAAATGAATTGAAAAATAACAATTATCAAAGACAGGATTAGATTATATTTTCATGAGTGATAATATTCATTATCACTGGTACTAAGGGCTCGTTTAAGAGACAATTACACGACATTAAATAATATATTCATTTATAAAGTCAAATGACTCAATTAATTACTAAGCCAATAAAATGTAACTACATAAGATGGTGTTCTAACTAGTGTTAGGTAAAATTATTTTATTTTCATAAATATCGGAATCTAAGAAATGTTTTAAAATTATAATTATAATTCAAGTTTTTTATATGAAAAAGATATATAATAATTGTTTTATATAAAATAAGAATGTGACCTTAAATGGTGATTATTAAAATTTAAATGATAGTTGGTTTTACTCCCCCCCCACCCACTCCACCCGCTTCTTGCTTATAAAAAAAAATAAAAAATACAGGCAATTGATATGTTCAACATTTTAACGTCTTTGAGAAAAAAAAATTCATGCCTCTAGTGATTCATAAATTCCTCAACATCCGATCACAACCACCATTTCACTGATAATGAAGAATGTGTGCGTGATTGTGACTGAAGGGAGGCATTTTATAAATAGCCAAGCAAAATTCGAGATTAATTGTGATTGTATTTATGTGACTATATTCGTGTGAGATGCATTATCGTGGTTTAAATTGTGGAATACAACATTTGTGTGTCATGTAGTTCCCATTTAATAAAGTGTAACGTAAAAATAAATTTAGCAATTCACACATGTGATCTCTATGACATTTTTCCCCCTAAAATGTGTGAATTATATACGAGATTTTTTTCCTACTATCATTTGTTAATACAGTGATTTTTTGGTGATCTTCATCGTACACAATATTGATTAAGAATAACATTTGTTTCTTTCTCCAAATAATAATAAAAGAATAAAGTAATCTAATTTTGTGTAATTTGAATTCCAAAAAATAAAAATTCATATATACATTACCACTATTAATGAGAATCAGAAATGAAAATAATACTATAATATATCTTTAAATATTTTTTACAATAAAAAATACTTAAATTTTGATTAAATGAAGTCGATACCTATTTTTTTTATCAAGAAAACATAAAGGCATGGTTTCCTCTCATTTTTTTCAAATGCACTTTGGACACTTAAAGCGCTTATAAGCGATGATAATAAAAATATATAAATAATTAGTGTGCAAATAATGTTATCTAATTTTAGTGGTGTTAATCCTAACCAGCGTAGTAGCACTGTAGTCCACCATCTACAATAATCTAAATATTATAATTTTTTATTTTATCCAATTGTAGGCAGTCTATAATTAAGACGAACGCTTATCAACACAAGGCCAAAATAGCATTTTTCTATGCGAGCACTGGATGTAGGGGTTGTAAATAGGAGGAGCCACGTACGGGGCTAACCCCATGCGTGGGGAGTATCATTCAGGATGTCCAGCCCATGACACAACTTTATTCTTATATTTTTTATGTGTCAATATTTCAAAAGTATTTGAGGTTATTAATTCGCTGATAGAAGGACAAAATTTTTGTTGTACCCATCATTGCAAAAAAAAAATTTTGGTTAAAACATATGTTCAAATCGTTTAAGAAATTGAATATAGAAATTTATGTTGTTTCTCCTAGTATTATAGACCAAGAATAGAATAAAATCTCCTAAAATGAGAAAAAGAGAACCAATTACCACTTTGCTACGTTAGAGATACTAATTAAGTAAACATTAAGTAAATATTTTACCAATACTAGTCATTACTCACGCAATGCATGGGCTGAGACATTTTGAAGCTAATGTTAGTGTGTTCAATGTATAAGTATTGATAGGAGATATGTGTGTTGATTGAACGAAGGCTATTTGTGACATTCAATGCCAATGGCAAGTACCACGACAATTTATTTTGTATTAGAATCTCTTTTCTTGAACTTGAGTGTAATGCTCAATGGAGTAAGTATTCGTCAAGCATCAGAAAACACAATCACGCTTCCTCTGATGACCCCGATCGAGTACTCAAGATTCTCTGTTGAATTCCAAGTCACCGTGCAGCTGGGATTGTGTGAAAAACTAGGGAATACGAATTTGATAGTGATGCAGCTGGTAATAATCTCTAATTTGCTAACTTATTATGTACTTTATAGTAAGAAAAATAATCACCTTATCTCCTTAGGAAATTGAACTAAATCGTTATATTAAGTAGCTAAATTATTATGGAGCTAATTAGCTAAATTATTATGGAGCTAAACTTCTCTTATTTGCGAAATTATTATATCTTTCCATAATAAGAAAAGCTTACCCTTAAGAAATTAAGTTAAGAATAGAAGTTAATATACAGCAAAAAGAAAATAACATATAAGAAACTAAGTTAAGAATAGAAATTAATAAGGAACTATAAATGTATTAAATTAAAAAACTAAGAATAATAAGAAACGAATTAAAAAGTGAGAATTACATAAGTAACTCACATAATCCATTTTCTGTAAAACAGATATAGCAATAAAATTTAACGTACAAAAATCTAACATGAAAGGAAAAAATTTTAAAAGATAAGACTGCAAATTACCTGGCAATAAGAAAAGAAGAAATCAGATTTTAGATGTAGTGTAATTGAAGCTAACAATAAACCTGAGAGAGAAGATGAATGGAAGAAAGAGATGAAAAAAAATCTAATCATAGCTTTAAATAGATGAAGAAGAAATTATTAAATTATTAAATATGATTGAAATAGAAGATGATCACAAATGAAAACAAATCTTTTTTAAATTTATTTCTTCTTCGCTAAGGTAGCAACTGCATTTGATTTTAATATAAATCAGTTAGTAAACATATGTAATGATAGAGAACAACTAACTTATTTAAGTAAATCAATTATTACAAGAAGAATTAACAATAAGGTAAAACTAACAATAGATAATGACTAATTTACCATTAATTAAATAAAATATTGAAAGAAGTATTTATACAACCATTAAAAATCACCTAAAGCTAACAATAAGTATTATGTAATTTGATTTTATAAGGGATTTGAATTTTAGAAGAAAAGTATTTCGTAAAAGAAACCAAAATATAATATACATTAATTGAAATGCCACCCTAAACTTATACATAAGTAGAATCTAAGATATGCAAAATATTAACTATGACAGGATATACTTGAAGGATAATTAAGTTATCTTCAATATCTTTCTTATAACTAAATTGTTTGAGGAATATTGCAATAGTTATTATAATTTGTATCATGCAAATTTTCATTTGCATTTATTGAAGCATCAAATGAACTTATATTCATCTATCATGAGTCCTTTATTTGAAATAAGATATTGCATTTGTGTTACCTATAATAATCATGGAAAACGTGATTCCGAAACGATGCTTCGAAAAAAAGACAAAGAATTAGTTTAACACATTCTGGTTCACATATAAAAAAATGAGCCATCAATTCTTTAACGAAAGCCGACTATTTACTTCCATATCTATTTCTTTCTTAGCAATTGAAAGTAGCAACGTAAGTAACAATAGCATCTCGGAACGACTAAACAAATAATTTGGCTTAGGAAACATGCAAGAAATGAGCTAAAGTTTTATTGTTTTGCTTTTCTACTGGATTCTACCACCTACGTAATTAAATTGCTCATTCTATTAGACAAAGCATAAATATCAATAATTCCTTAGAGAGTTCAACAGTGAAACTTTAGAACACCATTAGACAAATAATATATGATATTAAACAGTAACTTGTAAATCTATCTTTAAATAAACTACACAATGAGCAAACAAATTAAACTATATATAAACCCCTAAGAATGTAGAAAAGAAATATTCAACCACCAAAAACAAATAAATCTTCAACTGCAATAAAATGAAAATAGTCAAGACGGTTTAAGAGAAGAAAAAAGACTAATTGAAAAGCTCAATTTTTTTTGAAAAAACATGAACAATCAACTCAATAAAGAATATATTTCAAAAACCTTACCCGACAGATATCTTCCTAATACAATCTTCGATTCTACAAGTCAGTTAATGCAATGGAGCCCTATACACATAAGCAGTATGATACAAAATGAGTTCAAAATAGAAAATGTTTAGAGTAAAATCATCTAAAATGAACAAATTTTAATAAATTTAAGAAATAACATTACCGAAAAGAAAGAAATATGAAATATACACACTTCAAGTTATCAACATCCAGTTTCTCCACAACTTTGTTGGTAATTTCTATACGATTTTTCCCTGTATCCATTTTCGCATAGTAAAAACAACAGAGGTGAAGAATATAAAATAGAATAAGAAGGATTAGAACAATACATTTTTCAAATTCGTTTTTACAAATAAGAAGAAATGAAGGTGAAAAAGGTAGAAAAATGAAAAAGAAGATGATAATGAATATTTAGAACCACGTTACGGCTTACATTCGGAAGACAATCCGTTTATAGATACATTCAAAGTTGGAAGGCGATTAGGCCCACCTTCTAATAATGAATTTACCAAAATTACCCTTAATTTTATAGCTCAGACCATTTTTCATAAATGTTAATGCTAATGATGAAATGGGAATTTAAAAAA